GTCTTTTGCAGGTCCTGTTTGTTCGGTGGAATGTTTTCAATGTGTACCCTTTATTGCATCCCAAACGACTTCAAAGTATACCCTTCAAATTTCGTTTTTCTTCATTCCCGAAGTCTGGCAGATTGGGTACCGGCTAAGCACAACTGACCTTATTTTGCGGTGTTGTGATTTCTGATCATCAGAATTGCCACCCAGCCTCACCACTTCGTCATGAGGTGGTCGTATAAATGTTGGTTGTTTCGGTGTCGTGCGTGTTACGACGTCCTTGTTCGCGTTTCGTGTCTGCTCTTCGGACTGCGATGATGCTTTGATTTTATCAGTTTTACCGCTTCATAGTCTTGTGGGGTTGTGTACCTCCTATCTTCGAATCAAATGTGTTCATGCTGTATCTTAGAGTGTCCTACGACGCTGGTGGTCCCATACTTTCAGTTGGAACACATCGGTTGCATACACAATAGTTCAGCGGAATGATGCTACGGCTGTGTAGCCTCGGTTTACACCCTATGCGTCGTTGCCGGTCACTCCGAAAACCACCCACTATTACCGTCTTATCCGTTCAAACATCATATACGAGAACCCAAAGCAAACGCGAAAGCAATCGCTGTCTTTCCATCGGGTGGAATGTATACTTCATCCTCCTGTTTGAAATCTGTAATTGTAAACTGGTCAGTTGGTTTTAAACGGTGTCCCAGAGTACGTTACTCTCTAGCATGAGGAAGACAAGAAGATGACAGATATTGAGGGGCGATGGCCTACTAACTTGTATCCGCAAACACCATAACGCTGCGCACTACAGCACCATATTCCGATTTAGTGTCTTGCAGCGACCATTAAACGACCTGAGAGAGGGCCTTTTGAACCTTCCTTCACAATCCAACTGAGTTGTCCTAGGGAGCACGAGTCTCACTGGAAAGTGCAACCTTACCATCTGGCATCAGAGGACATCGACGAAACAAACCGCATTTGATCAGCATAGCTGCAGTAGATGAATCATTGTTTCCATGGTTGGAATTCCACATTGGCACATCGATAGTGTCTTGCCACAAACACCACTAAACTGGATGCATTTCGACCGCGTGGAGAGTTATCGTCGCTGACATCTCAATAGACTCCCCGCTTAACAGCTGACGACCGCCCGGCCACCGACGAGAAAACTCGATTGGTAGTCGACGAGTGTTGGTCTCGGTGGGATCGCTTCCAACAGTAAATGCTATCAGTTTGTCGTCCACCGCTTGCATTTCCCGGGCACTTGATTAGTCCTGGCTGAGTAGCGCTCAGGAGCGGAGTGGACGAAGTGTGACTGTATTTGCATGTGATAACTGCAGCTTCACCACGGATTGCATCGTCGGCGCAAAGGTTGCATTCGATGGGCAAGGGGTGCTCGAAAAAGTAGGCGAACGGTTGTCGA